ATAGTAGTCACTTTAATTTAAATATTACAACTATATGTTTTATTAAGAGGGAGCATGCCAAAAAAGTTTTGACGTTGGCTCCGCCCAAATTTGTGAGACAAATATATGCCTGAAGTTTGCGTGACATGCGACAGGAGATGTTGGATTTTGCGCATTAACAGTACCAAATTCGTTTTAGCGGAATAACTCTAAATCTAAAGGGATTCAAAAAAATCCGTAGTGACAGTTGTCGATCATGCATAAATATAATTAATTATCTAATTTTTGTCCTAGTAACCTGTAGCATTTCGAAGATGAATCGAAAAAATGTGAAAATTAGAGGTCATTTCGTGATTTTTATCTATCGAGGAAACTTTATTGTTTTATGTTTCTGATTAATGTCTATGCTTGAATTTAGTTACTCGTACAATATTTTATTTTTAATTTTAAAGTGGATATACCCCGATATATATAATCGATATATATAATCGAAGATTAGGAATTTTTCCTCTGCTACCTCTTAATTTTAGTAAGTACAGGCAAATTTCACAGTCGAACGTGAAGAGAGTAAGAAATAGCTCTAGTGAGCTACGTATTACAGTATTATCTTTTCTGTTTTCTCTCTAAGAAAACAGTAGAACAGAAATAAATGTAGTTTATAAGAATATGTCTCCTGGCCCGGGAAGGAATCGAACCCACGACCTCTGCATGGTAGTCCAGCATGGTTACCGTTAACTACTGAGTAAAATAACTGAGCAAATAAAATAATATAATTAATTTCTTCATTTGTTTCGTTTGCCTGGTTCGTATACTGCCCTGGGAATGAATAAAGGCACAACTGTCATAAAAAGTACGCATAGTTGTGCCTTTGTTCATTACGAGGGCAGTATAATTTTGTGTGATAAAAACACTTTTGGCGTATCATCACATGTGGCTTTATTATACCAAGGCAAACTGGTAAAATGGCTTATAATGGTGAACTAAATAAATAAACGAACTAAATAATAGTCGTTTATGTGACAGTTACATAATGAAAGGCATTAAAATACGAGTGTTTTAATGCCTAATTATGTACAGTTACATACACTGCTTTATCTACACACATTTAATAAGCTCTCTGTGATGTGTTCAGGAACCGCATGTTACGACTGGCGAAATGGTGGCAAATAAATTTTTTCTCACGCATGTTACACAACCGTAGTTTTTATTTTTAACTCATAAGACAAACTGGAACCGGCTCCAACTATCATATCGTTCGATATCAAGTAACGTGTGAAATTGTCAAAATTGTTTGCTATTGACATTTCATTTCGAATAAAACTTCATCTCGACTGATATTAAACTTGAGGTTCAATCAAATTGTTTTGTTTTTCAGGGAAGTTCGAAATTTGAATATAATAATATCATCGAATTCGATAATAACATTTTCACAGATAAGAAATTTGTTCTAACAAAGCACTTTACCTTTATGCTGGTCGTAATTTGAGGTTTTTGAACACATTATAGAGAGTTTATGGTATTATGTGTGTAGATAAACATATATATATGGTGGCAAAACGGGTAAAATGGCTTAATATGGTGAACTAAATAAATAAACAAACTAAATAAAGTCAACCGTGACCATGGGACCTGTAAAGAAATGATGATGATGATGTACCAATACATCGTTTCAATTCTTTTCGTAATTTTTAAGCAGTTACTTACGGAATAATAAAATAATCTTAGAATAATAACGCATAGAAACCTAGTCCGCACACGCTAAGTGAGGCAAATTGAAGCGCGCCCAATGGGCCTACACGAGCGGGCGGGCCTTCAGTGCTCAAGGTCAACTTGCACCGCGAACAGCTCCAGAATTTTAGCTAAAATGACGAAACGTGCGGTAAATGAGTGTAAAAATACGTCAGACAAACATAAAATAGATACTAACATCACATTCCACAAGGAAGTAACGCGTTTCAACTTGTATTTTTATATAAATATTCACTAAAACCGAAAATTAACCTACTACTAAAACTAGCTTACATGAATTTGATTTTTGCCTCTCTTGTGACAGTTCGTTTGATATGAAACTATCGTTCTATGCGTTATTATTCTAAGAAATTATTACAATAATATTCAAATTTTTTAATTCTCAAGTGCACAAGAATAAGGTTATATGATAATATTAAACTAAATGAGTTACGTTTCATAATATGACAAATGACAATAGAATTACGTTCTCGTAAAAATAATTACGCGAAATAATGAAACACGCAGTTATCACATTTTATTCCCGTTTCAAACTTCGGGCTGTTCGTATAATAATGCAAAATAAAGCAAAAGTTGATTATCATATCCATCTATCATTACCATGGTTTCATTGTAACAGCAGAATAAAAGACCTTCCCAAAAAATATCTTACTATGTTTACGAGAATAAAATGATATGTAATTATTATCTTCGCCACTTGTACTATTGCTACCCGCAGAATAAATTGATAAGTCAACGGTGCAATACTTGTTTTCGGCTCAGACACAACGTTAATAAAATGATAATCCACAATATAAATCCAACATGATCATTGATTTCGACTAATTATTTATTATTGAAATATCTCTATTTTGGCTTAACTTACGGCTGTTTCATTTATAATATAGAATGCACAAAACATATTCTTTCCTCAAAGCTATCTATTATTCTACCTACGTTTAGTATTTAAGAACTTATCAATGAAAACATGTTTTTTATTTTTCCTGAAATATTACTTTTCTTGCGATTATCATTTTGTTCTCCGGAGATAGCGATATATATGATGGCAAAACTGGTAAAGTTGGCTTATATATAGTGAACTAAATAAATAAATAAACTTATATATGGTGGCAAAAATGGTAAAAAGCGCCGGCCGCGCCGGCGCTGCTACTTACACTAAGTAAATATTTTCTTAGGTACTTACCTTTCACCGTGAAATTGCTTATAAGGTTTAGTAATAGCTTCAGTCATATGCTCTCGCTGTAGAAGAACATTCGTCATGGTGCCGAAAGGCGGGATGATCGTGGGTGTTTTCACACCCTGCTTTTTGAAGAAACCATAAACTTGCCGCAAGTACAGAAATACTGCGGTTACGAGGCAAACCAGCCATATCGAGACCAGCATCTGCAATAATAATCAGGATTACTTTCAAATTATTTAACAATGTAACACAACCGTTTCTGTTTTACCACATTCACAAAATACTACGGGTACACAGAAAAGCAGTAAATAATCTAACGAACAAACCGGATTGGTGAAAAAATTATTTTATTTATAATTTAATTAATCAAACTGACAGAAACGTTTGTAATTTGAGAAGCAAATGAAAATTATAATAAAAATATTTACCTTACTGGTTCGAACACACTTAATTTTAAAAGTTCAAAGTGTGATTAAACGAAACCTATTTAGTTTGTCGTGAGTCGTAACGGCAATGCTGCCACAGTCGTGAGAACTGCGACAATGAATAAACAAGGCGTGTCTGAGCGTATATACATATAAATTATATTTCGAAGAGATAAGACAAAAAATTATCAAATCATTGGTAAAATTATGAAATTCATTTTTGATATCAATCAACTTGGGCATTAGTAATCGGTATGCGAAATTAAATATTACAAGAGGAATAATTATTTATATATATAATAAAATAGCAAAAAGTTTATCTTTCGCAGTTCAAAAATTATTACAGTTAACTTATCCCAAACTTGTTGTCTTGTAAACCACGTATCATTTGTCAATTCATCGATTTCAAATGAGTTTTGGACAGATGACATAATGTTTGTGAAAAACGTTAGGTATATCAAAAACAGTTATTAAATTTTGTACTTTTTTTTTAACCGAATATCTTGTTTGTTTTGAAATATTTAAGGGTGAATATCTCATGCGTAAATTTTTCGTGTCCAGGCTAAGAATTCTGGTGTAAAGTGAAGAAATATTAATGGCTTATTTTTTATAGTTTAATTATACGTAAAATGAAATGGGGCAAGAATTTCGGAATATTTATTATACAAGAATAATTAATAGAAAATATTAATGTCCCGATTTTCAATTTTGCTGGTGTGTCCACATTCTGTTTCATTGTATAAAATGGTCGTTGTAGTAAAATGTGCACGCTTTTATGAAAAACAATTCCATGTTATGCTATTCACTGTTAGAAATACTAACTAAAATCATTGAAAGTATTGCAATTACCAGTTTGTAGGAGACTGGGTACGTGATCAAATTTTGTCCACGCGAAAATTGTAGTTTTGGTGGCAAATATTCAACTGGTTGCAACTAGTAAGTAGTTTAACTACAGTAGAAGTGTTTAGTGGTCGTGACACGTGTGCCAACAGCACGTGGAGTCCCACTTAATTGAGCTTAGTCCGTCATTTTTGTTTTGTACATTATAGTCGTGTCAATTCTCTCGCGTAAAACCTCGAAAATCAAATAGAATTTCCTTAATAATGCATCTTAGGAGTCCAATGTGGTGTTTCATAAAATATAATTGTTAAGTCTATTTAATTTTACTAAAGTTTCAAGTTTCTGTTTCTCGTAATACATTTTTTGTTACAAGAAATGATAATAAACCTTATACCGCTGCAATATTCGTCGTCGTCTCTTTTTTGGAGAACTGAGTGAATATCTCGAATACGTCGTCGTTCAGATATTTACTTCTAGATGGCAGCACATTTCCACAATGTGCCAACGGAGTAAAATTTAAATTATATTAACAGTCCAGAATTTGTTACATCTTTTTGATTTATAAACTACGATCAATCATCATAATAATAATAATAATAACGCACACACTCAACATAGCCCCGCACTAGGGAAACCCTGTGTCGCGGGTGCCATGGACATACACTTAGACAACCACAAATTGCACCCAAACTCACGAGAGAAAGGGAAGTACTACCATCTTACCTATTTCGGCCGCCAAGACGTAATGTCAGCATTACTGTGTTCCGGTTTGGAAGGGTAAGGGTGCTGGTGAAATTACAGGCACATACATTACAGGGACTTGTCAACTTATGTCTCAGGGTGACGGGCGCAGTGGCAGTGCCCCTCAGATCTTTGCGATTTAAAGCTCTGAGTGGCGCTGCAACTGTTATGGACAGTCGCGCGTCTTACCATCGAGCGCACGACTTGTTCGTCCCGTCACTTGATATTATAAAAAAAATATATAACTTGAGCAAGTCCCGTGTTACCAGCACCCTTATTCAAAACCGGAACGCAATGATTGCTCACAATACTACTTGCCAGCAGAAATCCATATGGAGGCGGTACTGTAGTAGAGGCAGCTTAGGATTTGTATTTAGAATTGTAAGAACAATAGAGTGTTGATGTCGAACAGACATCTAGGAGTTCTGGACAAAGCTTCGAAATTGAATACACGTATAAAGTTATAATATGATATAATCGTCGTTTATATTTATAAAGTACCTCTTGCAGTAGTATTGTTGTAGTAGTACTGTTGAGTAGGAAACCTCAGTATGATATATCACCATATCATATTACTTATGTTGTTGGTGTAGTTAGGATATAGGATATTCGTGTGTCCTTTTTGGTGAATTGTTTTAAGAAAATAAGAAAATCTGATGGAACGTGGATAGCTGCTGGACGAATACTAAGGCAGCTGGGAAGTCAATATTGATGTTCCCCAGTGGACGCCCGATGGTTGCTCTAGCCAGTGATGTCGTCGTAACAGCCAGCACGATGAGGATTGTTATTTGTTTGGAATTGTATAAAAATTCTGGTAGGATTAGGTAGGTATTAGGTTATGTAGGAAGCTTGAATGAAGAATTAAGGTTTTATAGCTAGGATACCTAAATAGCTAGGATAGCTAATAAATATATTTAGATTCTTTGATTAGGATGTGGTCATAGTCTGTCCTTTCAAATAGGTTTTTGACAGATTAAAGCCACAGCCTTCTCGGTGGTTTTGTTTGTTAGTAAGTGATAGCTTGCGAGCAGTGTGTGACTAGCCTGTAGTAAAGGCTGATCACATATTGTTCAGGACGAAAACGTGTTCGCGCCCATGTGATTTTTAATATTGTAAATTTATTATTGTGATTTATTATTATAATTTGGTATTGTTAATTTAGTTTAAGGTTTGGTAAATAAACGAGAGGGAGAGAGGGGTTTTGCTTGGAGTCTGTAGGGTTCTCCCGTCCCGCTCCTGCATTGGTGCCGTCCCGCTCGCACACTTGAATAGAATGCGAGCAGCACGGCGGGCCAGCGATGATATAAAAAGCGGAGCGTTGGGAGCGGAACGACATTCCAAAATTGACTGCACAAGACTCCGAAGGCGTTCCAAATCTCTCCGCGATCCAAGCAAAACCAAGAACAAGAAGCTCAATTTACAACCAGGCGTTTTTTCTCACAATCCGCCCCCACACATATGTATGTTGCCTATCATAGGTAGGGCACTAGCTAGGGATGTTCACCCCTTCGGTTGTGAGGAAGGGGGATGTAGTACAGGCAGCTTAGGTTTTGTATTTAGAATTGTAGAGTGTTGATATCGAACAGACATCTAGGAGTTCTGGACAAAGCTTTGAAATTGAATACACGTATAAAGTTATAATTATGATGTAATCGTCGTTTATATTTATAAAGTAATACCTCTCGCTACGCTATCTGAGCTACGTCTCATGCTGTACTACTTCCCTGGACGAACTCTTTCGTAAAGAGCAACTGCACGATGATACTTCTGAATTTGTTCACAAAATGATAAAGTAGATATTGTAAAGATATTATTCACACGTACATACATGATCAAGATAAATGGCGTACCAAAATAGAATACGTATTCATTATTACGATGCAAAAAATATCATTAGATGTGATGATTAAGATTAAAAACCCCCGTGTCATGATGACTTTGTAGTATAATTTTTTTTTGTGTGTGCTTATCTGGTTAATTAATTAATACAATAGGAAATGATACTATTTTTCCAGATTTAAATCGCATGTATTTGTTTTTTCAATCAAACCAACGATTTGGGCCCTTTACAGGTCATGTCATGGTCACGATTGACTGACCATGGGACCTGTAAAGGGCCCGATCCTATGTGTAACAATCGCGAAAACCTAAGAACTCGATAATTAATACAACTTAGGGTAGCCATACACGGCCTGCTCAAGCCAATGATCAACATACACGAATCGCTCTTGCATTCATAGTCAACTGCTTGAGGCTGCCATTAATAACTGCTGGAGTAGTTGATACCCATTGCAGCACTTGGTATCAACTGCTCAAAAAGTCAATTTCAATTTCATTCAAATCAGTAGCAACATGGATTTTGAAGAAGAAGCACTACCTACTAGCAGTCTACTTTTGCTCAGACGACGACGGCAGCGGCGTAGAATTTGATGGAATGAAAAGAGCGGGCGGAGGTAACTGCGCGAGAGCAGTCGACACCTCGAGCAGTCAGTGTATGCTTAGCGACTGCTTGACTGCACGATGAAATTTCACTGTGCTGCAAATCGCCCGAAGCGTCGCAACTGCTCGAGCGGTTTGGTGTATGTGTGTACATACAAGACTGTAGTTTGCTATGTTGTCGCAGCTTGAAGCAGTCGATACTAGCTGCTTCAATGCTTCTTGCACGCTTGAGGATTTAATGGCGGCTGCTAGTGACGCGGTTGGCGTGGCTGAGTTGTGTGCCACTATAGTATAATTTATGTCTTCGATACGATAAGAAGAAGAACTTTAATATTGCAATACCCTTGCAGGGTCCATGTCCGGTATATTTTTACATATTACATTTTTATTCTTTTACTTAACAATTCCTGTACCTACCGCAGGATGTAATATAATGATAATTATTATGATATTTGCCCGGGCTGTTATTGACAAACAGCTGCGCTGAGGGTTTCTTACTTCTTCAAGTAAACGCCTGCTTCATGTATATACTTTGTAAAGACGTAGTTTTTGGTACAATAGAATATATGCAAGCACGGCATGGTCAACGGTTGCGCTTGCCTCACCCCTCAGCAACTATGTCCACCGCCGCACTCTGACGCAGCAGCGTTAACAATATTGTAGATGAAAACAGAAGAAGAAAGCTCCAAAAAAAGATAACTAACACCATGGCATTCATATTTTTTTAATGTCGATAATGAAGAGCACACTTAACATAGCCCCGCACTAAGGAAACCCTGTATCGCAGGTGTCATGGACAATATATAGATAGAACCACTTCTTACAGAAAAAAAAACATTTGAAAATGACCTTATGTTTAATATAAGACAAAGTTTTCGATATTAGAAAATTTTCATTCACAGCTCTTTTCTAATTTTAAATCGGGCCCAATGACCTCCCTTAATGCGAATGAAGAACGTGGAAGGGTCCAATTTGGAAGGTATTGTCGTTCTGGTCGATGGTGACACTTCGATGGACTTTAGTAGCTGATATGCCATTACTTTCACCTCACAGAGGGCAAATCTTGACCCTGTAATAAGTAAGAGTTATTTTGTAACTTAGTTCATAGAATGATGGCGTATTAACAACCTATTGGTGAGTGTAAGGTAAAGTATGAGAGGATTAAATGGTATAAATAATCAAACACGAAGGGAGACTACTTCAAATGATTAAAATAGCTAATTTTAGTCAAGGGAAACATTCTTTTATTTTTCTTAATAAGATTAGCTGCATTCACATTTTTTTTTAAAGTTTACCTGCAACGGGAATTGTACAACTAAATATAAAAAATAGACACACTGTCTAATTTATTGTAGTACTCGATAGGATATAATATGATAAAGATGAGATCTCTCCAAAGAAAATTGGGTCTTACAGTTAAAGCATCCATGAAATCAGTAATATTAATGTAATATTATTATCGACTCTGACACAAAGGATACGTAGGTATTAAGGCGAGTCTTCAAAAACGAAGCGGGATAAAATGTTCTCCTAGATCAAACGGTTTAAATGTTTAATATCAAATAACGATCTTATAAAAAAATATATGATAGACTTAAGAATATTGTTTAAAGAAAGACGTGCTAATTCGTTACACGATAAATAATATAATATATATAATATATATATAACGATAAATATTTCTCTTTAAAATCCTATAGAGAATCTGCTGAATTTTGGTTTTCAACTGAAGCGCTATACTTATAAAATTCACATTTATGACGAAACATGATGACACGCCGCGCCGCCCGCTGCCTAATAAGTCGCCATCGGGCGCTTGTCAACGTCGGATCTGTGTCAAATTTTCTCTGCCTGTTCTTATTTTATTCATGTTAATTTTAAGCGCGCAGATTGCGGTACGCGAGAGGCGGCCCCCCACACCTCAACTCCTAAAATCTAGGCTCGTTTTGAAATACTTCGCCTGAAACACTTAATATGTAGTACGTGACAGGTATCCCTTTGATTTTTTCCAACCTATATATATATATATATATATATATATATATATATATATATATATA